GGGGAAAAAGAGGAACAACTGTAATAATCTGAACAATAAAGATTTATTAAAAAAATAAAGTATAAAAAGGATGTGCATAGTTTATATGCAAATACTGTGCCATTTTACATAAGGGACTTGAGCATCAGTGGATTTTTCCCCCAACAGATACCGAGGATGATCACTATGTAATGCAATACAAATTTTTAGAACCAGATAATAATGATGGTTGCACAGCACTGTAAAGTTAATTAATGCCACTACATAGTACACTTCAATATCATTAAAATGGCAAATGTTATGTTACATATATTTTATTACAACTTTCTGAAAAAGTATGGTAAAAAGTAAGTCTCCCCCCTACTCTTAGTCACTCAGTATCGGTGTCTAGGTCAACCACTGTGACCAGTTTCTTGTAAACACAAAACTAGAAAAACTTTAAAGGACCAGAAATACTTTGTAGGTTTGGGGTCAATTAAGTCCTGGAAAAACAAAAGTAGAAAACTCTAGTGGCTTACAGGAACATACTTCATTGCTATTAATCATTCACAAAGATATTCCCTTTCTGCAAGCCTACCCAAAGCTCAGAGATATAGTTCAATTCTATTTTAAGCTCCAGTCCCTATAATGCTTCTTCCAAACTGACATGACAAAAAAATTAAGACTTAACCAAGAAATGAATTAACAAAGTTATCCTTACTCCCCCTAAAAAATTCTGAATATGTTTACTAATAGAATTCAATAGTGTGTTGAAATACTTGTTACAACCAATTAAGATTTATATCTGAAATACAAATATGTAAAATATACAAATTAAAGTATATTCAAATTAGAAAATATATCACATCAGTATTTAAATTAGAGAAAAAAACTCTCATCATCTTAGAAGAGAGGAAAAAGTATTTAATAAAAATCAATATTGCTTGCTCATAAACATCCATGTTTTAAAAAGTAGGAATACAATAATATGCCATATATATATAATATATATATATATATATATATATATATATATATATATATATATATATATATATATATATATATATATATATATATATATATATATATATATATATATATATATATATATATATATATATATATATATATATATATATATATATATATATATATATATATATATATATATATATATATATATATATATATATATATATATATATATGTTTCAAATGAAGTAAAAAATCAAAACTTTTAAACTTTTGACTTTAAAACTATACAAAATATTATATGATAATAAAAAATTTTAAATTAAAAAAACAGCCAGTTTGGCTCAGTGAATAGACCATCAGCCTGTAGACCAAAGGATCCCAGGTTCGATTCCAGTCAAGGGCACATGCCCAGGTTGCAGGCTCGATCCCCAGTAGGGGGCATGCAGGAGGTAGCCAATCAATGATTCTCTCTCATTATTGATGTTTCTCTCTCTCTCCCTCTCCCCCTTCCTCTCTGAAATCAATAAAAATATACTTTTTAAAAAAACAACCAAAAAACAAATAAAAAATAAAAAGCAAAATAAACAAATGAATCTATGCAATAGTGGGCAGGATGATTACCCAGAAGAGAACTTTTTAAAGTGACTACAAAACACAAGATATGACTCTACATCTCTAGTGGTATAGAACATAAAAATAAAAAAACTACAATCAGGAATTATTTAATAAAACCAGCTTCTTGGGAGGATGCTGCACAGTCATACTCCCAGGACCAACCTGGAATTACAACTGAAGTACGGAAAGGCTTCCTGAATAATCAATGGAAAACTCACAGGAGAGAACCCTGATACCAAGGACCGAAGGTGGAGACGGCATAGAGAGACTGGTAGGAGGGGTGAAGGCACGAAAGGGCTGGCCGGACACCCACAGATTGCAACTGAAGACCTGGAGAGATATCTCAGTTGTGGGGGGGAACTACTGAGAACTCTGGGATCTAATCCCGAAGCTAAGCTCCCCAGCAGAGAACACCAAACTGAGGAGGGTATCCACATAACATCTAGCTATGAAAAGCAGTGGCGTGCTATCTGCCAGGGGGTGGCAGCTGAAATTTTGGGCACCCTCTTAAAGCACCAATGCAAAAGAATTCCCTGTGGAGCCACCCAACTTGTGCACTGGCAGAGGGAGGGTGAAGTGGTCTGAAGCTGTGAGAGCAGAACCCAGGACTGGGGACTCAGGGGATAGAGCTCAGAAGGCAGACACCCCAAGTTTCCTGGGCTGAGTAATTCCCTCACACAGTAGAGGACATCTTTCCCACATAGACATCTGCCTTGCCTGGTGGGGAGATAGTTGACACATCCTATTGGAGAATACCTTGCCCTGAGGCCACTTAAGAGATTAAAAGTAACAATTAGCCTCCAGGCAGAAGCAACTGCCCCACCTTGTTGAAAAAACTCTCTCTCGCCACACTTGAGGACAATTACCTGGCGGGGGGCAATTCAAATAGGACTCCTATTAGTCTGTAGGGAGAGGTGGTCTCTGGAGCAAGATTGAGAAACCTTTAACCAGACTCATCAAGAAAAAAAAGAGAGAGGACCTAAATAAATAAAATCAGAAATAAAAGAGAAGAAGCAACAACTGATATCAAAGACATGCAAAGGATTATTAAGAAAATGTTATGAAGAACTGAAGAACTATATGCCAACAAATTGGACAATCAGGGAGAAAGGATCAATTCCTAGAAACATATAATCTTCCAAAACTGAATCAGGAAGAATTAGAGAATCTGAATAGACAAAGTACAACTAGTGAAATAATAATTTTTAAGAAGCTCCCAACAAATAAAAGTCCTGGACCAGATGGCTTCACAAGTGAATTTTACCAAACATTCAAAGAACTAGCGTCCATCCTTCTCAAACTATTCCAACAATTCAAGAGGAGGAAAGACACCCACACTCATTTTCCAAGGCCAGCATTATCCTAATTCTAAAATGAGATAAAGACACTATAAAGAAAAAAAATTATAGGCCAACATCCCTGATGAACATAAATGCTAAAATCTTCAACAAAATATTAGCAAACCAGATCCAGCAATATATTAAACAGATCATACACCACGATTAAGTGGGATTTATGCCGGGGATGCAAGGTTGGTTCAAAATCCGCAAATCAAAAAATGTGATTACATCACATAAAATGGAGTATAAAAACCACATTATTGAAGGGGTTGGAGGTAGGAGGTAAAAGAAGCCTAATATATGGTGATGGAAGAAGATATGACTTGGGTGGTGGGTACACAGTCTGATATACAGGTATTATATCATAGAAATCTACCTTTTAATCAATGTCACTCTGCTGACATCTCAGCAGATCTCAGACTTCTAGCCTCCAGAACTGTGAGACAGTACATTTCTGTTTAAGCCACTGGGTTTGTGGTACTTTGTTAGAGCAGTCTTAGCAAACTAAACATCTACAAAATTACAAATACATTACCTTTTGACCCAACCATCTAATTCTGGAATTTTATTCAATAGATCTATCTGATATGTACACACACACACACACACACACATGCACAGATTCATTAAAGCATAGTTTGCAGAAAGGAGTTGAACAATCAACAGGGTAAAAGCTAAATAAACAATGGTATTTATATTCACAGAGAAGAATCTATGCAGCTGCAAAAAGAAAAAAAAACATCAAGAACAAACTTTCTAACTAGGGATAGCATAGTTTGCAGAAAGGAGTTGAACAATCAACAGGGTAAAAGCTAAATAAACAATGGTATTTATATTCACAGAGGAGAATCTATGCAGCTGCAAAAAGAAAAAAAAAACATCAAGAACAAACTTTCTAACTAGGGATTCAGAAAGATGAAAGATCACATCTATACTGTTAACTAAAAAAAGTAGCAGGGTACAGAACAGTGTACACAGATATTTATGTAAGGAGAAGGGAAAAAAAGACCAATACATACATACATACATACATACATACATACATACTTGCTTCTATTTGCATAAAGTAACACTGATGGCAGTGGTTTCCTGGTTTCCAAACTTGTCTGCATCTTGCAATCACCTGAGGAGGTTCGAAAACTCATACTTCCAGGGACTGCAATCTAATTTGTCTAGGGCAATGGTTCTCAACCTTCCTAAAACCGCGACCCTTTAATACAGTTCCTCATGTTGTGGTGACCCCCAACAATAAAATTATTTTTGTTGCTACTTCATAACTGTAATTTTGCTACTGAATCGTAATGTAAATATCTGATATGCAGGATGTATTTTCATTGTTACAAATTGAACATAGTTAAAGCATAGTGATTAATCACAAAAACAATATGTAATTATATATGTGTTTTCCGATGGTCTTAGGCGACCCCTGTGAAAGGGTCGTTCGACCCCCAAAGGGGTCGTGACCCACAGGTTGAGAACTGCTGGTCTAGGGTATCACCTGGGCTTTGGAATTTTTAAGACTCCAGGTGATTACAATGGCAGACAATTTTGGGAACCACTGTTATAACAATACAAAAGATATTAATAGAAGTAGCTATTTGTGCATGGGGGATCAGGAGTGGGAGTCAAAGCTTTCACTGTAATATTTTTAATATGGTTTTGAACCATGTGAACTATTCAGAATTTTAATTAAATGTTTCTTTTTAGAAAACAAATTGTTGCTCCCACATGTTTATTTTTATTACTTAGCTCTTCCGGGGTTTAAAACGGCTGTTACCATTAACATTAAAAAAACTTTGTAATCATATGATGAAAAAAATTCAGACTCTCAAGTTTTCCCTATTTTGGCCACAAGTTATCCGATCATCCTACGTAAATGTAGTTAATGAGGTGATTTTGTGCATTACCTGTCTTTATATACCCAGCAAGAAAGTTTATCACGTGGTGTGGGTGGTTTTCCTTCAAAGTTGGTGATTTTTTCCCAAACATAGGTTCCATCTCTGGTTCGCAAATTAACAAAATAAAGCTTTTAAAAGAGGAGAATACCATTAATAGACAGGGCATTTGAAAACTGAATCCATATCTGAGGATTATATGATCTAAAATTAATAATATTACTTTTTCTTTTTAAAAGGTAAAAATTTTACCTGTGGAGTTAATGAAAATGAGACTGTTTTAGAAGCAAAAATGATATATAAAACATACTGAACTAGATCTTTTCCTGGCATTCTCTTGCCATATAGATATTAAGTATATAGTTAATTCTGTAGCAGAAAGATATGGAAGAAAAGCACAACCACTACATTTTCACTCTAAAACCTTATAATCATAAACACAATATTTTCTATATATATCTTCTTTTTTAAATATATGTAAACTTGATCCTGGCTGGTGTGGCTCAATGGTTGAGTGTCGACCTATGAACCAGGAAGTCACGGTTAGATTCCCTGTCAGGGCACATTGCCTGAGTTGTGGGCTTGATCCCCAGTAGGGGGATTACATGAGGCAGCCAATCAATGATTCTCTCTCATCATTGATGTTTCTATCTCTCCCTCTCCCTTCCTCTCTCTGAAATCAATAAAAAAACAAACTTAAAATATTTGTAAACTTATGAGGTAAAATGGTACACTAAATATTACACATTTTGCTGCACGCCTGAATTGAAAGAAAATATTACTCGATTGCTGTATCCTTTGTCATCATATCCTCCAAAAACGTACAGCTTTCCATTAATGCAAGCACCACAACTTCCTGACATGGAGGTAGGGAGTTCTCCTTCCATGAGGTGCATTGTCCTGCAGCAAGAATAATATGAAATTTCAAAACTTTCCAGAAAAGCAAATTAAAATTCCCTTTGAACTCCAGGAGTCTTTTTAAAATGAAAATTGTCACTGACAATTACAATTAAAATAGAATGGTAGCCAATACTGTAAAGACTCTAAGAAGAGCCACTGTAAATCTTTTTCAGCTTTACATGTGTCACCAGAATTGGGAATTAATTAGCAGAACAAAGTCTTCAGAGACAGTCTTAGAATTGTGAGGAGTGGAAAGGACAAATAGTGGAGAAAGGAAGGGAGCAGAGGAAAGAAACAGCCAGAGAGAATAAAGCATTGAAAGAAAAGGAAAGGGAGAAATAAGTGGTGCAGTATGTTCTAAGTATGGTCTTAAATTCCCCTAAGTCTATGAAAACATTCATAACATATATGGTGAGTGCATGATACCGTATGCAGATAATGTTTTATTGAGTTGTACATGTGAAATCTATGATTTTATTAACCAATGTCACACCCCAATAAATTCAATTTTAAAAAGACTGGACATTCTGCAATTTAAAATTACTTACCACAACCCACTATCAATATCATAGGTCCAAATTTCATCATTAGGCAAATATACTTCATTGTCTTCAATAGACTAAAAACATAGAATACATGAATTATGCTTTTTAAATACATAGTAACAATTCAATAGTTCCTCAGGATAGGAAAACTGCAATTAAAATATTGTGAAACACAAAATCATAAACAGACTCAAACATTTTTAATATAAATTAAGCTAGATCAAAAGAGAAAAGGAAAATACATTTTCTAAGAGAAAATTGGCAAACAAAGGTTTAAAATACAAAGTACATGAATTTCAAGAAAAAGACCAAGGACAATTAAACCTTAAAAAGGGATTTCAAGAAAGGGAAAACAGCAAAATAATAATATTCAGAGTAGAACTTCCAGGAAGAAAATAAATATCAAACAGAGCAATATGTTTTGTGTGAAGGGAAGGAATTAAGGAAGGACATTTTTATAAGGTGTAATTAAGAGCACTGTAAAGAAAAAGAAGGAAATCTTACCATTTTCGACAGCAGGAATGAACCTAGAGGGTATTGTGCTAAGTTAAATAAGTCAGACAGAGAAGGACAAATACCATATGATTCACTTATATGTAGAATCTAAAGAACAAAATAAATGAACAAACAAAATTGAAAAAGACTCACAGATACAATGAAGAGACTAATGGTTTCCAGAGGGGGTTGTTGGGAGATTGGATGAAAACATTGAAGGGATTAAGAAGTACAAATTGGTAGTTACAAAATAGTCATGGGGATGTAAAGTACAACATAGAGAATATAGTCAGGAATATTGTAACTATGTATGGTGCCTGGTGGGTACTGGAAATAATGGATGTGGGACCCTTTTAAAGTATATGATTATCTAATCACTATGCTGTACACCTGAAACTAATACAAAATAATACTGAATATAACTGTAATTGAAAAATAAAATTTTAAAAAGGTAACTATATCAGATACCTTGATTCACTGAACTTATTTTTGAGTGCCTACTATGTGTGAGGCATAGTGCTAGGTGGCTATTAAATATAGAATCTATGGCTCAATATAAATTTAACTAGTCCAAATGATAACTCTGAATAATCTCTAAAGAAGCTGATAATATAAACAGAAGAGTGCATTCTGACATTTGTGATGAAAAGAGAAATAAGAATAGAGTAACAATCATTTCTATTAAGTAAAAAACTTAGGGGTTGAAACAAAGTCTTACATAAATCTGTCATAATTTCTTAGAATAATTCAAAAATAACCAAATATAAGATAGCAGTTTAAGAATTTCTAATGCTGCATGATGCATAAATTATTAGCATGCTAAGTAGATTTAGGTAAATTCTCATTGCTATGTTAGATTTTAAAAATAGTATCTTACCTACCAGCTATCTCCTCCCCCCTCCTCTCTCTCTCTCTCTCTCTCTCTCTCTCTCTCTCTCTCTCTCACACACACACACACACACACACACACACAAAGCAGAAAATCATTTTATTAATTCCAAGGCAACTTCCACTTATGTCTGAATGAGGAAGTCATACTTAATGGCTAAGTAAACAAATAATTTGAAAAAGGGGAGTTAGTTGTATGATTCTAACAGTGTCAGGCTCCAGTATCTTTGTGTGTATACCTATATAACCAAAATATTACAAAAATGGATTCTGTCACGACTCTGTTTAAGTCCCTTCAATACTTCCCTAGTGCTCTCAGGATAAGCTAAAAATCTTGAGTCTGTTCTATTTGGTACCTGCTGTCCCTCCAGTTCATCTTGTCTTTCACTCATTATGCTCTAGTCTTCTGTCAATTCCTGAACCTCTGCAAATTCCTGCTGCAATAGGGCTTCAATTATGCTCGTCTCTCTTCTTGGAATGCTTCCAGGAATTTTTCTGGCTAACTAACTCATTCTTTGGAAACAGCTTAAATGTCCCTCCTCTATTATCCCAGAATAAGGTTGAAGGATTAAGTGACCTATTAAATGCTCTCATACAGTCCTGTACTTGCCCTTCTAAGTCCTTTGTTTAGATCATACCAAG